TACTCCTGGCTTTATTGCATGGTGCTGCTTATCCTCCAAAGCAAACACAAACATCCGCCGAGTGACCCGTTCTTGACACCCTTGAAGCTCACTGCAAAAGCCCTCTTAAGAGGCAAGGCTCTGGTCAAGGGCTGGACTTCGTGGTCCAAGACCATGGCCACACCCTTGATGCCACCGCGCAGGGTCCGGGCAAAAGCACTGTCCATGATGGTCTCTCCCAACCTTTCCAAAACAAAACTCGCATCAGCATTGAGTTTAGACTCAAAAACTACAGCTTAGCCGGAAACCCTCTCTTTGAAGATCGGGTGGAGAACTGTGACTACAACAAGAACAAGTGATAAGTATGCCGTGCTCGACAGCCCCAATCATCTCGAGGTGGGACTTGAACCCCTACGGAGCCCATTGGATTCATCCCGTCATCAGCTCATGAAGCTTGATGTGGCATGAGGATCGCAAGACCGCTTCAATGGCTCGCAGCGACGGTTGTCACGCCTTTCGGTTCAGTAGGCTCGGTGTGCCCTTACCCATTAACATGTCGATGTAGATTTTAAACAAAGAAAAACCATCGAAACCCGCGCGCGGAAAGGACCACTCTCGGACAACACTGCACTTTTGAATCACTTTTGCATCAAGACCACTCGGAGACCACTCCAAGACTACCAAAACGGACCATTCCAGGTGCAACTGCTGAACTTTGGTATGCTGACATGAGTCTATTGTATGACCAGTTTGAGACCACTCCAAGACCACCCTGAGTCCGCACAAGGCCGCTGGACGACACTAGGTTAAGGAATCGCGCAGACCATGCACTCTACGGCCTTGAAATGCCTTGAACCTGCGAATGAGAATGCAATATGAGGCTTGACACATAACAAACAAGTCGCACCCCACAAACGTCAAACAATTTGTGGGTTTGGTTTTCGGTGATTCCCACGCAATAGCACGCTGCAGCGCAAGAACCGCAATTCTACAGCTCGAGCCGTGGTTGCAATCCCCGCCTTAGCTCGCCCCCTCATGGAGCACGCCTGAAACCCGCGAGTTGCAAGTCTTGCATGCATCGCGAAAACTGGAAAACTGCCAATGGAAACGGTGTGTCCGAAAGGGCATGAGACCAACGTCACTGGACACCTTGGGACCCATCGTCGATTTTGGTCCTGCATGTGAATCATACGACAACGGGGACCGTGCGCCGCTGCTTGCGCTTGGGCTCGTACTGTACTGTCAACACCACCTAGTCTCGTACAGTCCACACAGGAACCCGACAGTACCTTGGACATAGATCTTAAGCTAACTACATCAATATTTAAATGCGGTGCATGTGCATGCATTGTGCATACATGCATACCTGCAAGCACGCATATGCAGCCGTGCCTACATGCAAGCATACATATATCCTGTGCATCCATCCATCCATCCATCCATACTTACCTACCTACATACCTACATACATACATACATACATTACGTACATTACGTACATACATACGTACACACACATGCGTACGTACATGCATACATGCATGCATGCATGCACACACACAGACACACAGACGCGTGTGTGTATGTGTATCGGCGCGGGCGGAGGGAGATGCAAATATTTCCTACGATTGCATATGCACATACCGAAACTCTAGGCCACGACCCTTCTTGCGCACGAGGAACGCCACTTGGAGGTTCCATTGGTTATTGGCAAAAGAGCAAATCCAGTAGCTCACATCCATCCTTTGCTGGGTCCGGCGCTGTTCTGCAAATTTGGGTTTGTGGGGCTTCCTTCGCTCTGTCTGGGCATCAGAAGATGCTTTCTTGCCAGCTCGCTTGCTTGAGGAGTTCAGGCGTGCGGCCTAAGGTGAGGGCTTCAATCAAGGAGCAGAACAAGCTTCAATTGTTCTGTTGTCTAAAGTTGCACACTTGGAGCAAATCTCTCGCTCCCACGGGTAATACCGAATTCTAACTACTTAAGAGAAAGCCAACTCCAAGGCAAAGGAGGTAGGATTCAGCGGCCTGGCATGGAAAGACTCGCGGCTCGGAGGTTTGAGCGTAGAAGTTCTACGGTAGAACCGCATGTGACTCTCACTTCGAACTGGAGGTGTGGAATGGAAGGCCGAGCTGGATTAGACTCTCCAGAGACCGCCAAGAAGCCAACGCTGACCTTCCCTAGACCGAGCATGAGAGTGAATCGAGCGTACAAAGTGTGCAAAGCTTGTGGCCCAGGAGTGGGACACGAAGTAGTCCACCTTGGGAGGGCTGAAAGAATTGAGTCCTTCGGACGGAGCTCTCTCAAGGCTCGAGCAAATGCTTGAAGCTCAGGTTCTGGACCCACTGTTCATTATTATGCTCTATCACGACTTACACCAAGTAAGCGAAGTGATGTTGCTTAACATTATGTTGTACACTACCGGTTTTCGTGTTGTTCTTTGCATTGTTCTTTTTCGTCCCGTTTATGTTTATGCTCCTCACCCACATGTTAAGTTCTAGGGCTCAAGATGTATTGGGCCCAAATTTTTGGAAACACCTGCCTGTCTTCCGCCCCACAGGCTCACGAAGGACACTTGCCTGTCACAAGTCAAAGGCCTGACTATGTTGTTGACCACAAAATGCATGTTGCGATCCAGGATGAAGCTCTCGAAATGTCCCCAAAGCTCCCACAGGGTCAGGACCATGAAACCTGAGCTTCAGAAAATAGGAACTGATTAGCAAACATCGAGGGTTGCTATGCTCTTACCACCGTCTGGGGGTCGAGCTTACCACCGCTCTGAGCCCAGAAACCTTGGTTGCTTGGATGCACCGCGTCCGGGCCAGGGTGGGGGTCGCACTGGATGCGCCACCGGTAGTCATCCAAGAGTTTAGAAAATGGCGTTCTGCGGCAGTGCCGCTCAATGAGCCATGCAACAACCGGATGAAGAATCAGAGCTGCCAAACCCACTGGGAGTGCACAGTATGCAGAAGTGACAAGTACATGTGCAATGCCATTGCCCGACATGCTTGCAACTTGAAGAGCGACCGGCAGCAACACCACCAGGAACAAAGCTGCGCAAAGTGGCAGCATCAGGTGCATGAGGTTCGTGGCATGCAACGCACCAACTGCGGCTGCACAATCATATGGGACATGCGCATCCTGTACTTCAAGTTTGCTGCGGTCGATACTCTGGATCTTCACTGCCTGGGCATTCTCGGGGCCGAAGTCCAACCATTGCAGGCCCGTGCCTTTGACGCGATAGCAAAGCTGCCGATAGAGCTGCCGTGAGAGGAATTGTGGGAGATCGACAATGGGGCCTTGCAATGACATGGCAAAGGACCTCTGCTCCATCCCCTCTGGGAATGCCTTGCAGGGGCCTGCAGCTTTCCGTAGCCTATGAGGGATCCGCTGTGATTTTGCATCTACGATAACCAACGGAGCGTGCAGGATCTGGTACAACACGAAGGCAAGGAAGACACAGCTGGCAGACGCTGCAAACAGAGCACCGACTTGTGCGGAATCCTGTGGTAGCACATGACACACGTCAGACTTGCCATCCGACCAAGCATTGTATGGTGGGCACTTCTGGCATGTTCCATTGATGAACTGAGTGTGGGGTTCGCAGAATGTGCAGGTATTCATTATGTCTTGCAGCATCACAACTTGACGGTCAGCATAAGCCTGCCTGGTGGTCTGGTAGTTGGCACAGGTGCACCGTTGAAGCATGCCTCCGGATACCGATGCTGCCAACGGGCAAATAAGCAATGGAGTGCTCAGGGCGCGCAGCTCGCTCCCGGTTGCATTGAAGGCAACTCCGTGGGTGCAGTCCTTGCATGAAACATCCAATGACTCGGCTTTGAAGCTGTCTATTGTGGCCAAGACAAGGACGTCGTGCAACGGCGACTCGTAGTCAATGCTGACATCTCTCACCACAACCTTGTGCGCCCGTGTGCTCAATAGGGGGCTGGACCACGACTGAAGGTGTATGTCAGAAAGATGAACGACTTCAAACGGGCATGTCTCCAAGGAAAGGAAGCCCGAGCCCAAACGCCCGCTAGCTTTCAAGGATGCTCCGGCTGCTATCTCGACAGTGCGGTTTGCAAGGGCGCTTGGGCAATCGCTGTTTCGCAAGTCAAGGCCGAGGCCTCCGACGACATCTTCCAAAAGCACCGTCGCACCCGGGCTGAGTTGTAGAGACCTTGCGGCCACCACACTGGAAAGATCACTGCCGACTGCCTTATGCACATAGAGGCCGGACACAGCGCCCAGGAAAACACGGTCCTGCACAAACCCTGCAGCACCCATTCCCTTTGACCTGGAGTCGTTGACGACCAACATCCCGTCATGCAAGGCCAAACCAGCCGGGGAATCGCCTGACAGAGTGGTTATGATGCTTCACCTAGGGGCCTGCATCCCGTGCCTTCATCTTGGGTTGACTAGCTTATAAAAAGACCTTGCTGTGAGTGCAAGCAGAAGACTTCCTGTGGAGCTAACATGGAAACCGCCTCCATCCTCCTCACAGGAAGTGTTGGAGATAGCCAGTGTGGAAGAAGCTGCGATGGTAATGGTGCTTTCCGCGTGAAGGCCGCCTCCGCTGCGACCTGCTGTGGCATTCTGAATATGGACATCGGAGCTCTCGTTGAGCAGCAAGCTCTCAGACACGGCGACTCCGCCACCATCACGGAGCGTCGTGTGGCAGTCGGAAGTGTGAACCTTGGACCAACCACTAATCACTGCACGTCCAATAATGCAAAGCCCTCCTCCATATAGGCGCGAGGTGGCATTCCGAACACCCAGAGTCGAGCCATTGGCAACCACCAGAGCGTGCGAGCCGGCACTAAAGTTTGCCGCATACACACCTCCTCCCATAATTCCTGCCGAGGTGGTCCGCAGGTCGATTGATGAGTTGCCCTCTAGGTAGAGTTTTGCTGTCTGGAAGCCTCCGCCACTCCCCTCGATGGACTGGCTGTCGGATACTGTAACCTTGGAGTGGCCGGCAACCAGTGCGAGATCGTCAGCGCTGAAACCTCCCCCGTTCCCACCCGTCTGGGTCCTTTCGATGTGCACCGCCGATCGGGAGGTTACTTCCAAACGTTTGGTCCAGAAGCCGCCGCTGTTGTCTTTAGAGGTGCTATTTCGAATTGTGATGAACGAGTTGTTGGAGACCAAGACTCCCTCGGCTGCAGAGAAGCCACCTGAATACGAGGAAGAAGAGGCAGTGTTGCGAATTCTGAGCTTTGAGCCGTCACTGACCACAACATCTCCACGCCATGCCGCGAAACCTCCACCCTCCAGCCGCGCCGCAGTGTTGGAAATGCTGATGGTCGAGCCGCCAGTCACCTGCACGGCAGCCAATGCACCGGCAAGTTCCTGTCTAACGCTGAAGCCTCCACAGCATCCGTTTCTGGCAAAGGAATCGCTAACCGAAATCTGAGAGTTCTTCGCGACCACAATCGGACCATATGCCGCGAAGCCGCCTTTGCTCTTGTCGACTACCGCCCTGCGAATACTAATTTCCGAGCCGTTGGACACAACAAGCCCTTGCCCGGCTGTGAAGCCGCCAATTTCTCGAGCAGCTGTGACATTCTCGAGAAAGACAGCTGAGTGATCGATCACTTGCAGAGTAGACGACGAAAAACCTCCTGAAAACTTCGATGCGTGGCTTTCCGATATTCGCAACAT